GACTTGTTAATTTTAGCCATTCTGACTGGTGTGAGGTGGTATCTCATTGAGGTTTTGATTTGGATTTCCCTGATGCCGGGCGATGTCGAACACTTTTTCACGTGTCTGTTGGCCATTTGGATGTCTTCTTTGGAAAAATGTTCATGTCTTCTGCCCACTTCTTGATTGGATTATTTGTTCTTTGGGTGTTGAGTTTGATAAGTTCTTTATACATTTTGGATACTAGCCCTTTATCTAATATAGTTAACATATGGTGTTATATTAGTTTCAGGTGTACAATATAGTGATTCAACACTTCCACACAACACCTGGTACTCATCAAAACAAGTGCACTTCTTTTTTTTAAAGATTTTATTTATTTATTTGAGAGAGAGAATGAGAGAGAGAGAGCACATGCGAGGGGGGAGAGTCAGAGGGAGAAGCAGACTCCCTTCTGAGCAGGGAGCCCAATGCCGGACTCGATCCTGGGACTCCAGGATCATGACCTGAGCCAAAGGCAGTCGCTTAACCAACTGAGCCACCCAGGTGCCCAAAACAAGTGCACTCCTTAATCACCTATTTCACCCATTTCCTCCCCCTCTGGTAACCATCAGTTTGTTCTCTAGAGTTAGGAGTCTGTTTCTTGGTTTGTCTCTTCTCTTTCTCTTTTTCCCTTTGCTCGTTTGTTTTGTTTCTTAAATTCCACATATAAGTGAAATCAGATTGTATTTGTCTTTCTTTGATTTATTTCGCTTGGCATTATACTCTCTAGCTCCATCCATGTCATTGTAAATGGCAAGATTTCAATTTTTATGGCTGAATCATATTCCATTGTGTATATATTCCACATCCTTATTCATTCATCAATCGATGGACACATGGGCTGCTTCCATCTCTTGGCTATTGTAAATAATGCTGCTATGAATATAGGGGTGCAGGTATCTCTCTGAATTAGTGTTTCTGTATTCTCTGGGTAAATACCCAGTAGTGTGATTGCTGGGTGGTAGGGTAGTTCTATTTTTAACATTTTGAGGAATCTCCATACTGTTTTCTGCATCAGTTCACATTCCCACCAACAGTGCATGAGGGTTCCTTTTCCACACATCCTTGCCAACACCTGTTGTTTCTTGTGTTGTTGATTTTAGCCATTCTGACAGGTGTGAGGTGATATCTTATTGTAGTTTTAATTTGCATTTCCTTGATGGTAAAGGATGATGAACACCTACCTTCTTATACTTTTTGAATCATGTGACTTTATTACCCTTCCCCCAAATTAAATAAACTAAAGATAACTAAACTACTCAGCCTTTTCTTTTCTCTTTCCATCTATGATGCAAAACATAAAACATCAAGTATCTCTATACAATATTACATAGATAGGAAGACTGAAAACACTGGCAGAAGTTAATTTTTATATAAAACCAAAACCCAAAGTCCAGTTCACAGGAATTACACTCAGGGAGGTAGAAATAGTGATAAATCAAATACAGTTTTGCCCAAGAATAAAGAAATTGTGTTTGGAATTTTACACTTCTTTTCTTTCTACATTTTTTGTAAAATGCTGAATTTCAATGAAAAAACTGCCAATCTTTGAAATAGCAAGCAATAACTTTTTCGAAGTCGCTTCTTTGCTTTGCAGTCTTCTCACCCCCTCTTTCCTGAATATAATTTGCATTGCGTTTTTTCTTGCCTCCTTTCTCCCTTCCTGCCATTTATATTGGGCATGCAAGAAGAATACAGATTCTCTTTCCACAGACACACAGAACACTGTAATATCTACTAAAATATCTTAAGTGGAATAATACCTAGACCTCATACTTCATTAGTACTTCGAAAATTGCCTAAAACTTAATTTTAAGAGCTTCCTACACCAACATAAAGGTAGAATTTATAACAACTATACAAACTATATTCTGGATTGAGTTAACACTATGATTTCTTGAGAAATGCTCCACCATTGAGTTTATGTCTGAGTGCTGAACATTAAAATGCAAGACTGAGATTTTGAGTAATGTGACATTCATAGGTCACCAGACAAAAAAATCATGTTAAAAAAAGGAGTTTTTAAGTTACAGGAAAGATTAAGCACCAAACAAAAGGCCTGCTTTACAAGAGCTTGACCTAGTCAATAAAATATTCTGATTAGTACATTATTGTCATTAAAAGTTAAAATACAACATGCATAGAGATTTTTTTTAAGTAGGCTCCACGCCCAGCGTGGAGCCCAATGCAGGGCTCAAATGCACCACTGTGAGATCAAGACCTGAGCAGAGATCAAGAGTCAGACACTTAACTGACTGACTCACCCAGGTGCCCTACAATATGCATAGAGATTCAAGTGTCACGTGTGAGTGCCATCTACCTGGGGACCCAACCCGACAAAGGCTGCAGCCCCTGCACGACTCGGTGGCTGTGGTACATGGGACTCACTTAGCTGGGAACCGTTTGGGATCGAATAAAGCAATGCGATTAGAGGCCACCCCAGAGAGGGAGAGGATTCCCCCACCCCTGAACCATTTTTGCTGGTTGCGGCAAAGTATTTTCCAAATGAGATTTGCCACAGACATCTGCTCTACAAGTGGCAAAATGTCAGAAACGAAGAGAAAGAAATGTTAAGATCCGAGAAATAAATGACTCAACCTGGGAAAGCTCCAATACCCACAAACACTCAGGGCTGTCACTAAGAGAAACATCGGACTTTCCGCAGTCTTCTAGATATATAATACTTTAAAGAGGTCGGAGGTAAGTCTATTTCTTCCATTTCTTAAAGTACTACATACTGTGTTTAATGTATTCTCTCAAGCCTCAGAGAGATCAATGACAGTCACATCTCTTAGACAAAGCAACAACGAAAGCTTTGATCTAGCACCATTAGTTTTAAAGCAACTCCCAAACATTGTCATTTTCACCTTACTTCAGCATCCAGCTCCAGAAAACAGATATTTTTACCAATAATTTTATGGTTGATAAAGCCATTATCACATCTAATAAAATTACCAAGGATTACTTCGTATCCTCTAATATCCACCCAAAAATACAATATGCATATACAATAGTACATATAAGCTTAATTTTTAAGATTTCATGATTGGGAAAGATTTTGAAATCTTGTATAAAGATAATCATCCTGGGGTGCCTGGGTGGCTCAGTCAGTTAAGCAGCTGCCTTCGGCTCAGGTCATGATCCCAGGGTCCTGGGATTATTTGCATATAATACCCAGTGCTCCATTCAATACATGCCCTCCTTAAATAAATAAAATCTTAAAAGATAATCATCACAAATATCAATTTTTACTTAAGTTATATAGAAATACCAATGAGAAGATTTCTTATCTAAATACCTGGACAAACTAGCATTTACTATATATCAATCCTTAATGTTTTCAGAGATTTGTCAGTATTTTTAAAAATCAAATTTTGGAAAAAGTTTTACCTTCATGTGATATTTCAAAGGATCCAGAAGATTAAACTTTACATTGCACTTTGGACAAGATCTTAGAAAAGGTGTTCCAGTTTTATAGTGAGCTGATGAGGTATTTGTCCCTAAAATAGATTAAGAACTTTTATGACTCAAATTCTTTTTTAAACATTAAACAACCAGTAAAAAAAGTTTAAAAATTCATCACAATTTCTAAAATTTATGTATAAGTAATATAATTTCTATTTTATATGCTAGATTCATATTTACCTTTTGATATCATAACATGGGAAGATGTCACTGGAGGAGAGTTAGTTAGAGACAATGAAGCACAAGGACTTATTTCAGAAACACTTTCGCTGGTCTTTGGCTTTTTTGGAGTAACACTGTTTACTTTAGAAGCAGAAGAACGTTTTAATATAGGCAGAGTTTGATCTATACCTACAATGATATAAATAGTGGGAAAAATATTTGTAAATATGTATAGAACACTGCTTACAAATGCTACTAAAATGGCTTTATATTTGAATTTAAGTAAAAACACTTTGAAGCTAAATTAAAGATAACATAATTGAATTATATCATACAAATGACAAAAAATGATAAAAAAAGAAAAAAATTTATATGATCAATAGGTAAAAAGAAATTGTACAAACAGCTATTATGAACTACACATATTTGAACAATTCATGAAATAAACTTTTTATACAAAAAATTCTAAAAATACTTTCAAATAAAAGAAATATGTAAATAGGTATAAAAGAGGTCAGACCAAAAGAATCCGAAGCAAAAAAATTAAAGCACAGAGAATGTTCTAAGCTCAGTTCCCAAAAATGAATTTATCTTTAGATGCTTAAATACATTTGGGCTTGGAAACAAAAACCACCTTTATTCTAAAAATTTAGAGAAACCCTTTAAGATACTTAAAAAAAACTTAAGATGTCTAACGGAAAACTCTAGTTGGTTCTTTTTCCACTTATTAACAATCTGATGGGTTTAAATTATCTGTTTATTCCCTATGAACAAAGTACAAACAACTAATCTTGAATAATACCTTGCTCATTCATATGAAAAGTCTTAAGAAGTTAGTAAAATGGTCTTCAAATGATACTCCCCTGAGGCTAACGATTTTGCTTTAGGGAATACAGTAAACATGTCAGATGGAAAAACTCTCCTTTTACCCTTTTTAAAAAATTAGATTTTTACATAAAATTTTGTTTGAGGAGATTTCATCACTAAAGATAGTTCTGAGCTTGAAAACCATCACCTTAAAGGCTAAGGGATTGTGTAATTCAGGGCATCTGCAAGAAAAGTGGGGCTATTTAGGCTATAAGCAGACACAGCAAAAGTCCTTTTGAAAATAACACCCAACTGTACTTTGTGATAAAGATTCTAAAACTGCACATCATATTTTTTTTTAAAGATTTTATTTATTTATTTGAGAGAGAGAATGAGATAGAGAGAGCACGAGAGGGAAGAGGGTCAGAGGGAGAAGCAGACTCCCTGCTGAGCAGGGAGCCCGATGTGGGACTCGATCCCGGGACTCCAGGATCATGACCTGAGCCGAAGGCAGTTGCTTAACCAACTGAGCCACCCAGGTGCCCTGCACATCATATTTTAATGCTCCCAACTGTACACTAATAGGCGAAGCAGTAGAATAGAGAAATACAGGGAAAAGGAGAGCACTGCATTAGTGGGCTCCCTGTCAAATCTGTCTTTCATTCTTTGAGATAACAGAAACGATTTTTTTTCCATCTTCAAGCACATGGTTACTGACAGCATACTGCAGGCACTTGGGACTGATTTCTGTGTAATCACTAACATTTTCCTCAGATGCTTAGGTTACTTGAACAACCAATGAGTGCTGGTATTTTGGCAATTAGTTCTCTAGCAGGCTGTATAGTAAAAATAGACTGTTTTGTATATAATTTTTTTAAGCATGAGTAAATCTCCAAGTTAAATAAAATCACTCTGAGCTCAGTAGTTTTAAATTCTAACCGTTTAACTTGTTTATTTTTATTGCCTCTGGCTTGTGCCGTTCACTCTCTTCAACAATGCCAATAAAAATCCTATTCTCATTCTTCAAAATCAAGTTCAAATCCAACCTTCTCCAAGAACCTTCTATGATCATCCTTGACAGGAGTCCATTAATCATGCTTCTGAACACATAATACATATTATCATTCATAATTATCATTCTAAGAACTGTTTACTGTCAAGTCCTTTAAAGGCTTAGGGCATTTTTCATTTCTCACTTATCTCATTTGAACCTCAAAAAAGGCCTGAGATAAGTAGAGCAAGAATTAAAATTATATCTCCAAATGGTGACTTCAGGTCTGGAAAATGAATGTATTATCTGAGAAAGATAAAAGTATATATTTCAATAAAATGAGAAAATTGAAGTGTAAAGAGGTGACTTCATAAAGGCCACAAAAATCTTTAGCATACAGGCTCAAATCTACACCTTCCTAACTGACTATAACCCTATTTCCCATCAAGGCAAAGTTCCACTCCCTGCAATACAACAACTTACAGAGAGAGTAGGCATCACTGTTTTACCCCCTAGAATCTTCAAGAATTCAGACATTTTTATGAATAAAGACCATGTGCATTATAAAATCAGATTTCAGACAACTATTTTACTTTCTCGTTTATTTTGGTTCTTGGGTATTTTACTAACTAGATAAGTGACACCTAGATAGGTAAATAACAAGCCACGTGTTATCAAAATGGGAAAAATATTTTTGGCAAACATATTACTATAATTTTTTTTCTATTTTGGTTTGGTAAATGTATATGAATTTGCTAGTAAACAATTTAAACATTAAAAAATTCTTATGTACCTCTGTCCAATTATTGAAATATAACAAATTTACTAATATACAAAGAGCAATTGCTTTGATTATGGGGAATTTTTCAACTAAATAAAATTCTTTCATGGCATACTAACTTATTTCAAGTTAATGAAGAACTTTGTTATTGTACACAAAGAACTGTAATTCTTCAATTAAAAATTTACATTATTCCTTCAATGGATATTTACTAAGTACTTACTATGCACAAATCACTATTTTTGTAATACTTTCTTTTTATAATGATACTCTATAATCATATTTAACTATCATATCAACATCATTTATTTGGAAAGAAAGACACCAGTCTATTAAAAAACTCAACTATAACCATGTACTTTTTCTCATACTAATGGCCTTCCAAATGATTAATACTTTTTTTTAAAAAATGATAGTATTAGGTCATTAGGAGACTTCCTGGACTCAGAGAATTTATATTAAGATTTTTCAGCCCATGGCTGGCTCTAAGTGAGAATGAGCTCAAAAAATACATGTTAGCTAACTTAAAAGAAAGAGATACAATATTCTATTATTAAATACAAATTTATAAAAAAGAAATCACACAAGAAAGGCATTCAGGGATTATTAGCTTCTATTTTACGGTATATGAAAAACTTAACACGAAGGTATGGGTTTCAAAATAAAAATTCATTCCACATCTATATTCATCAAGTTTCTTTTTATTATACTCAAAAAAAGTGCTAAGCCAAACCTTCTATATAAATTGTTGATCCCTCTTGGGACAGTGGAATTGTATCCTGGGTCAAGTCAAACAGTAACTCTGAAGAATCATCCGATTCAACTTGTGATGAATTCTTTGTAAAATCCTGTAAAAAGTTATAATTATTTTGTTTCATAAACTTTTATAAAGGTAAATTTAATTGTATGACAATACTATAAAGATAACACCTTAATAATTTAATTACTAATAAGCTATAAAACACTAAGGTAATTATTATTATGTCAAAGTTAGCATTTAGTGGGTAAGGGTTATATGGGAACTCTCTGGATTACTTCTGCAGTTTTTCTATAAATCTAAAATTAGTTTGAAATTAAAAGTTAAAGTTAAGAAATAATGACAATATTATTGGCGAAGTAGACATGTTTTGGTACAACTTTTCTACAAGAAAATTTTGGCAATATCTATCAAGGGCTTTAAAAAGTTCATATCCTTTGACCCAAATATTCCACTTACATTAATTTATGCTAAGGAAATGAAAATATTTAATGGAGAATTATTTATAACAGCAAAAAATAAAAACCTGTATACCCAACAATGGAGGAATGGTTAAATAAATTAAATGATACACTATAATGCAATATCATGCTTTTGAAAAATAACCAAAAACAAAGAAAAATGTTTCCAATATAAAGTTCAGTGAAAAAAGAGGAGCACATATCTGTGTACAAAATATAATCCTGATATATTCTATATACCACACTACCCATCTGCAAAAAACAAAGTCAAAGTACAGTATGTATTGTCTTGTTTCTTTTCTAACTACTGCCCCCATACACAGTACCTTTATAAAATAGGAATATAGGGATCTTGCTTGCATGTTTTGTGCTTACAAGCTGAGAAAAAATCAGGTTTCAAGAATTTTACTTTGTTACTGTTTTCTGTTTACATGGGCTTAGTAAGAAGTTATAGAGACAGATATTGAACTGAACCAAACCATTCCATTCCTAGAATTTGAGCATAACAGGCAGATTTCTGCATTTGAGCCTTAATATGTATTATATAAAATGACTGTATGACTCAATGATGGCTTTATGACTTAACTGTAACCAAGCATAATCTTCTGCAAGGTAAATATTTTCTCCAAATATTTGCACTTACAAATGGAAAATATTCACTAGCAATTCTCCAAACAGTTCTTTCACAGAAGTTCCTCCAAATAAAGTTAATACTTCATTTTTTTCTAAAGATTTTATTTATTTATTTGAGAGAGAGAGAATGAGAGAGAGAGAGCATGAGAGGGGGGAGGGTCAGAGGGAGAAGCAGACTCCCTGCTGAGCAGGGAGCCTGATGAGGGACTCAATCCTGGGACTCCAGGATCATGACCTGAGCTGAAGGCAGTCGCTTAACCAACTGAGGCACCCAGGCGCCCCTAAAGTTAATACTTTAAACCTTTTCCTAGGTGATAACTCTGGCCAATTAAGTACCATTGTTTCAGAGAGCAGACATATTAGTCAACAAATAACTTATTAAAATAATTCTCTAATTGGGAATTTTTTATATCTCATAAAATAGTTCAGAAAGATACCAAATACAACAGTGAGGTACAACAGGCAATAGAGTGGGATTTAAAAGACCTCCATTTATCTAACTGTGGAACCTTGGGCCAGTCACTTGAGATTCAAGTTTTCACCTTTCCAACTGAAATAATAGCTGCCAATTGTCTATTTAAAACGTACTTGACTCTTTTACAGTCCATGTATTGTATCAGGTAGTTGTGACAACAGTACTAATAAAGACCTAATATTATCTCCCACCTTATAAATAGGTAAGCTAAAGTTCAGTGTAGTTAAGTAAGGTTCCCAATACAATCCAGCTTGTTCTCGATGATGAAGCTGGAATTGGAACCGAGGTTGGCCTGATTATAAAGCCTGTGCCCTTGGGATGCCTGGGTGGCTCAGTCGGTTAAGCGTCCGAATTTTTTTTTTTTCTAAGTAGGCTCCACACAGCATGGAGATCACGACCTGAGCTGAGACCAAGAGCTGGAAGCCTAACTGACTGAGTCACCCAGGCACCCCAGGCATCCATCCTACTCTTGATCTCAGCTCAAATCTTGATCTCAGGGTCCTGAGTTTAAGCCCCGTGGGTGTGGAGCCTATTTAAAAAAAAAAAACAACAACCTGTGCCCTTAAGCTATATCACACTGACATTAAAAGGGACAATAACAATTATCTTCTAGACTGCCGTGAAGAGTTGTGGTAAAGAGAAGAAAAAACTTAAAATTATCAGAGAAAATTCCCTCACATAGGATTCTCAATTAATTTGAAAATATAGATCTGTCATTCTCCACCCTGGCTCACATTAGAATCACCTGGAGAGTTAAAAAAAAAAAAATCTATCATGCCCAGGCCTCACCCCAGATCAAACGACAAAAAACTTTTTTTTAAAGCTCCCTAGCATTGGGAAACTGATTGAGGAGCTTCGATTAAACAACCAAGCCCACAAAAACAAAAAGTTCTGAGTTTTGAATGAGTTCTAGTTTCTAAGTTTTTTTTTAATATGAAAGATACCACCCCCTCCATTGTTCTCCTTCTCTAGGTCCAAGGTAGGAATAATTTTCATCTATCTCCATGTAAATAATCATGTTCCCTTTTTGTTTTTGCCTTTCTTAAATGCCAAACAGCTTATGACAGCATGACCACTGAATTAGTCTGATTCCAGCTAAAATAAAATAATTTTAGCATTTCTGGCAGCCTGCCATTATCAGGTACACCTATTAAGTGTTTATTAAGAACAGCCTGTGGTTGCTTAGAGGATCCAAGTTTAAGAGCCAGTGGTTTGGGTAAAGACTCTCATTTTAAAAATGAAGAAAGTGAGGCCCACTGAAGTTGTAAACGATGCTTTAGCTAGGAACAGACAGAATCAACACTCAAGTCTTTCATTTTTAACCTAAATTTCTTGGACTACTACTCCAGGCCTCAAATTACTATTGTTTCAGAATGCAGATACAAGTCAAGGATTGAGAGTTAATAAAATTAGTAACAATTTATCACTTCTTCAAGGTTATTCTCAAGTCAAAGTGAAATTTTTCTACTGTGAGTGTTTGATGGTCACTAATACAAAAAGTACCAGTGCTGTTTGGTGCCGCTGCCCTCATTCATATTAAAGCACAGCAGTTTTACCCTCCATTGCTTTTGCATCATCCGTGCAAATGTTGAGAGTGAAAAGAAGAAATGTCTCAGTGTAATTATCACAACAGTTTTAACTTCACGAAGCCCCGAAAGGGTCTCAGGGAACCCCAATGGTCTGCACACTATGATATTGCTCTAAGGCAGTGTTTCTATGTATAGCAATGCTTAAATGTATGAATGGATGTGTGTATGCATATTTCAAAACCTCTGGGCTGGGGCACCTGGGTGGCCTAGTTGGTTAAGCATCTGACTTTGGCTCAGGTCATGATCTCAGGGTGCTGGGATCAAGCTGCATCAACTGCTTCTCTCTCTCCCTCTGCCCCTCCCCCTGATTATGCTCTCTCTCTCTAATAAATAAATAAAATCTTTTTTTAAATTCTTTTTGAAGATTTTATTTATTTGACAGAGAGAGACACAGTGAGAGAGGGAACACAAGCAGGAAAAGTAGGAGGAGAAGCAGGCTTCCCGCAGAGCAGGGAGCCCAAAGCGGGGCTCGATCCCAGGACCCTGGGATCATGACCTGAGCCGAAGGCAGACGCCTAACGACTGAGCAACCCAGTCGCCCCTAAATAATACCTTTAAAAAAAAATAAAATAAAACCTCTGGGCTAACCTGGATTGAAATCCCAGATCCATCTTTTATTTATGAGTTATATGGCCTTGAGTGAATTATTTAGCCTGAGTCTCAGTTTCCTCAACTATAAAATGGGGATAATAATCGTGCCTACCTCATAGGGAAATCATAAGAATTAAATGATATTAATTTACATACAACATTTAGAATAAAGACTTACCCATAGTAACAGAATAACAAATGTTAAATATTACCATTAACTATTACTTCTGTTAAAAGTTTTAAAAGCTAAGCCATGAAAGTATGTTTTCAAAGTAAACAGCAACAATGACCTCAGAACAATCTTCCCAAATAAGAATACCTGGTTCTGTTTACTCTCTTAAGAATTTTGCCATTATGCAACATTCATTACTGATCTTTTTTTTTTTTTTTACTCAGTTTTAGCCTAGTTTTCAATATTATACCTATTTAATTTAAGCATATTACCTGATTTATTGACAAGTTGGTTAGTTCCTACAGTTACTACTTTGGGTATTGGTTGAGCTGTCAAAGATACTGACATTTTCTGATTGTGATTATGCTTCTAGTGGAATGGTGACTAGCTATGATAGTCCACAATTCTAACTGGGTACTATAATATCCATTGCATCCCTGAGCTAATTATAGTTTCAGAAACACTTACAGGTTTAGACACGTTCTGAACAATAACAGAATTCTGTGAAGATTTCGATTCAGGATGAAATCTAGGCAAGGCAGCCACTGGATTTGATGTTGGATCTTTGTAGTGTTGACTTGTAGGCCTGAATGGATCAGTAACACCTGCATTTCAAAATTAAACAACATATTGAATATTTTTCTATACAACCAATTTTGTTAAAATACTTCACTTTATAATTAAAATGGTATAATACTATACCTTGAGTGAGTGTCTCATTCTTTATTCCCTTTGAAGATGAGCTGGGGTTACCTCTGTTCAAAATAGCTACAAATATTACGTTTATTTTAAAACTCATTATTTGAATTTATATTTAGATAATAAAAAACTTCCCAAAAATATATCCACATACAACTAATAATTTAAGTATATTTCTTTCTCTTAGTGGTGACCCCAGATCAAACCCTTCCCCAATTCCCATGCCACATTCATACCCCCTAAAAGCCTGGAAGTTTCATTATGGGTAAGCTGGTCACAGTATCTGTACCACTCCTCTTGAGTTCTGAGAGGGACACTAGTGAAGACTGCAGACTAAATTTAGAGTTTACCAGAGTATCTCAAATCTACTACTATACCAAAAGTCAATTTGAGCCTGACATGACCCTATGAATCAGTTTAAGATGCTCACTCCTGTACCCGTGTGAACCCATAACTTCTAGGTTATTAAGGAATCAAATGAAAATTTGGAAGAGTAGAGATATGCCTAAAATTGCTAATCAGGAAAAGGTACATTTAAAAATCCCATAAAACCTCAAAAAAAATTTCCTTTTCCCCTCCTGGTAGAAAATAACCAGATCTCATAGAATAATTCTATAAAGTAAAGGGTCACACAAAAGTAGGGCTGTTTTATGATAATGGAAATTGAGTTCTCTAAAACTAGGCACTACAGAAGTTTCCTAGGAGAAAAATCTGCTCAAACAACTTGATATTGTTTTCATTCAGAATTTTAAAATAAGTATTTACTCAAGCCATTAAAGAGTTAAACCTATAGTACTTTGTGGTGACTGTAGTCTATCAAACACAACCTTTTACCATCCCTCCAACTTAATGATGGTTCTATATAAATATTTAGCTCATATTCCATATGTCAAAAATATTTTATGGCTCACACATAAAACATCAATAAAATCACTTAAATTTTGAGTTCATTTAGAAAAGAAATTTCACTGGGGTCAACGTTCTTTTTGACAGAATCACTTAAAACTAATACACATTATTCAAGTTGAGTACTGTTAACACTTATCTACAGTTGATATAAACCCAATCTGAATTGCCATGCTTTTAATAAGATGATCTGAATAATAATCTGAAATATGATAATATTTCAGGATAAAAATAATCACAGCAACTAGGAAACAATATTTATAATATTCTGTTCCACTATCAGCAACAAACATGCCAACATACTTCATTTTATAATTGAAGTAACATTCCACTTAGCACCTCTCAATTTGCCACAGGACATTATATTGAGAATTAAATTATTCTATCTCTGATAAAACTGAATAGAAGTGCTATTTGAAGTTTAGAGTCAAGAGAAGCAAAAAAAAAGGGCTTTCAAAAAATTAAAAACTCAGGGGCGCCTGGGTGGCTCAGTCGTTAAGCGTCTGCCTTCGGCTCGGGTCATGATCCCAGGGTCCTGGGATCGAGCCCTGCATCGGGCTCCCCGCTCAGCGGGAAGCCTGCTTCTCCCTCTCCCACTCCCCCTGCTTGTGTTCCCTCTCTCGCTGTGTCTCTGTCAAATAAATAAAATCTTTAAAAAAAAAAAAAATTAAAAACTCATCTCTTAACCACAATATTACACACTGCCATGGTAGGTAAGAAAACACTGGTATGCTGGCTACATTCTTTGCTAAATTCTCCTGGCTTAAAAAAAGTAAATATAATGGAAAAGAATCTATTTCCTCTTTCTCCCCTGAAATTCAGTATGTTGTTCCTCTGCACTTTACACATTTTTTATTGGACATTTTAACAAGTGTCATCAATATCTTCACTATAATATTATCACAATGGCAATTCTAACTCTGAAATCTAACAATCTACAAAATTACTGAACGTGTTCTGCTAGAAAGCCATGAGGATTAAGTGTGCTAACCGCCTGCAGTGTACAAGCACAGTAGCTAAAGACCAGACCCTCCTTCCTTCATGAATATAATCAGGAGTTGTTGGAAGATGGGTGTGGCCAGAAACTATAGCTCATGTTGGTACACATACTAGAGACTGTATAATCATGCAGTGCCTGTTCATTTTGTAGCCATGATTCAAGATGACACTGTGATAAGGCAGTTGTCTGGATGTGAGAACCCTCATCAGAGACTAACACAAACTTATTCAGTATTCTGATATTTTAAGCAAAGCACTCCAAACACTTCCTATTCTAGGTGTGTTTGGACTTAAGAGAGAAAAAGAAAAATTAACAAACAGGTGAACAGACTACGTAGCTCCACTAAAACTTAAGATTTCCAATTTCAGAAGGCCTGAAATGCTGTCAGGTAATCTTAACCTTTAGTTACCTTAGTTAACATTTCCCTTTTCTCTCAAATGATATTTTAACCTCTGACCTTACTCAAGTCCCCAACCACATCCTCCCTCTGATTCTCACAAATTCTTACTGATCTGTATGCTTCAACTCCTTACAGAATAACAAGGACATAGAAGACAGCTCACAGGTTTTTCTATTAGAAACAGCAACTTACAAAACTTTACTTCACTGAAATAAGTGCTTACTTGAAATGGCTGGTTTTGAACTTGATATCTCTCCAACAAAAATCAGCTCATCATCATCTTCATCCAGAATTTCTTCTACTTTCTTCTGCCATGGTTCCAGCTCTTCTTCTTCACATTCCATAAAGAGTTCTGCCATTTTTGGGTTATCTAATTTTCAAGAGAGAAACGCATCTTATTTTTTAAATAACTTTTTGCAATGCATAGTATGATATTTAAGATATACTTTAATAATCTTAAAATTAATTACTGAATTGATATTTGCAGTCAGTACAACTCAACTCAATCTCTAAGATCTAAACTAGTAAACTAGTAAAATTAAGCGAGCTGGCTAAGTAACAGACGACAGTAGTTACTAGTAGTTGCCAATAAATTTTAAGAATAATCAAATCCAATAAAAACTTGAAACATAAAAAAAAATAATCAAACCCAGGAAAGAATATCCAATGGGAAAAAGATAGTCTCCTCAACAAATGGTGTTGGGAAAACTGGACAGCGACATGCAAAAGAATGAAACTGGATCACTTTTTTTTTTTGAAGATTTTATTTATTTGACAGAGAGAGAGAAAGCACAAACAGGGGGAGCAGGAGAGGGAGAAGCAGGCTCCCTGCTGAGCAGGGAGCCGATTCAGGGCTCGATCCCAGTACCCTGGGATCATGACCTGAGCCGAAGGCAGACGCTTAACCCACTGAGCCACGCAGGTGCCCCAGAATCTTGACCACTTTCTTACACCATACACAAAAATAAATTCAAAATGGATGAAAGATGTGAGGCAGGAAACCATTAAAATTCCAGAGGAGAACACAGGCAGTAATCTTTTTGACATGAGCTGTAGCAACTTCTTACTAGATATGTCTCCTGAGGCAAGGGAAACAAAAGCAAAAATAAACTACTGGGACTTCATCAAATTAAAAGCTTCTACACAGTGAAGGAAACAATCAACAAAACTAAAAGGCAACCTATGGAATGGGAGAAGATATTTGCAAATGACATACCTAATAAACGGTTAGTATCCAAAATATATAAAAAACCGATACAACTCAAGACCCAAAAAACAATCCAATTAAAAAATGGACAAAAGACATGAATAAAGGGGCGCCTGGGTGGCTCAGTCGGTTAAGTGTCTGCCTTCGGCTCAGGTCATGATCCCAGGGTCCTGGGATCGAGCTCCACATCGAGCTCTCTGCTCAATGGGGAGTCTGCTTCTCCCTCTCCCTCTGCCTGCCGCTCTGCCTACTTGTGCTCTCTATCTCTCTGTCAAATAAATAAATAAAATCTTTAAAAAAAAAAAAAAAAAAAGATATGAAGAGATATTTTTCCAAAGAAGACATATAGATGGCCAACAGACACGTAAAAACATGCTCACCATCACTGATCTTCAAAGAAATACAAATGAAAACTACAATGAGATACCATCTCACACCTGTCAGAGGGCTAAAATCAAGAACACAAGAAACAACAGGTGTTGGTGAGGATGTGGCGAAAGGGTAACCTTCCTGCACTGTTTGTGGGAATGTAAACTGGTGCAGCAACTCTGGAAAACAGTATGGAGGTTCCTCAAAAGTTAAAAATAGAACTACCCACGATCCAGCAATTGCACTACTAGGTATTTACCCAAAGGATACAAAAATACTAATTCAAAGGGATACATGCACCCTTATGTTTATAGCAGCATTATCTACAACAGCCAAATTATGGAAATAGCCCAAATGTCGATCAACTGATGAATGGATAAAGGTGGTATGTGTATACAATGGAATATTACTCAGCCATAAAAAGAATGAAATCTTGCCATTTGCAACAGTGTGGATGGAGCTAGAGAGTATTATGCTAAGTGAAATAAGTCAGAGAAAGACAAACACCATATGATTTCACTTATATGTGGAATTTAAGAAACAAAACAAATGAGCATAGGGGAAAAAGAGAGAGGCAAACCAAGAAACAGACTCCTAACTATAGAGAACAAACCGATCATTACCAGAGCGGGGTCGGGGGTGGTTGCGGGGGGGTGGGGGTGGGGGTGGGAATGATGGTTGAAATAGGTGATGGGGATTAAGGAGTGCACTTGTGATGAGCACCAGGTGTTTTATGGAAGTGCTGAATCCCTATATTGTATACCTGAAATTAATATTACATTGTATGTTAACTGGAATTTAAATAAAAACTTAAAAAAAGAATAATCAAATCCAATCAAAAGGAGTTTCAGTTTTATGAACAGAATATATCTCTTAAATAATATATACCTATTATATCTATATCTGAAAAAAAAACCCATAAACTTTTAAATTAACAAAAAGGAGGTAAGCTAAGAATAAGAGGCAACAGGTTGGAGATATACTAGAAAAACTGAACTAGGTTCATAAACACTAGGCACAGAGCAAAGCAGGGATGAAGTGCAAGAATGAAAATAGGGGACTTAATTGAGGCTCATTCCATCCCAGGAAAGATTAGACGTTTCTCACCTGAAGAAACTAAGCAAAGAACATACGGTGAATACCACCAGCCTACTAGTACTGACCAAGCCATTCAGAGCTCCGAGGAAGCATTTTAGTGCCTCCTAAATATGGATAGACAACCACTGAATACCAGAAATATGACTAAACCTCCAATGTGAAAGACCAAAACAATAAAACAGATTAAAAGCTCTTAAAGAAAACAGAGATAGTACAGAATGCAAAAGTTATTAGAATGTAATTAGCATTTTTAGAGAAACAAATGTTATAAAATGTTATGTTATAAAAAGTAACATTCAGAAAATAAAGTTTAAAAATAAGACAGTCAAAATTCAGTAAAAGAAAAACCCAAAAACACAAATGCCAAAGTTGAATAACTGTCCCGTAATGGAACTAAAAGACAAAAAATAGATATACACTAAATAGATGAAATTATTAGAAATCAATTTCAAAGGTACAATTCACCTAATAAAAGTTCCAGAAAAATAACAGAGAAAAAAGGGGATATAATCAAAGGAAAAATACAAAAGAAATTTCTACTTCTAAAGGACATAAATGTCCAGATTGGAAAGGCTTACCAGGACCCAGCACAAAAATCAAGAAAAAAAGTCTACAGTAGAGGAATCTCTCATAAGACTTGAGAATGCTGGAGAGGGAAACTATCCCAAAATCAGCACAAGACAGAGTTAGAATAATGCTTTCAAAAGTATTAGTGAAAATAATTTTCAATTTAGAATTCTATACCCACCAGCCAAGGTTTTCATCAAGCATGAGGTACATATTTTTTTCATCAAAAATAAAGATCACCAACATCATGCAAAATTTACCCCCCATTCACCCTTTCTTTCTTAGGAAGAATCCACCAAAATATGGGACTTAAGAAAGAGGAAGAGGGGCGCCTGGGTGGCTAAGTTGGTTAAGCAACTGCCTTGGGCTCAGGTCATGATCCTGGAGTCCCGGGATCGAGTCCCGCATCAGGCTCCCTGCTCAGCAGGGAGTCTGCTTCTCCCTCTGACCCTCTTCCCTCTCGTGCTCTCTATCTCTCATTCTCTCTCTCTCAAATAAATAAAATCTTTAAAAAAAAAAAAAAGAAAGAGGAAGATACAGCATGCAGAAAACATGACATTCAATACAATACAAAGACAAAGGAAAGTCCCAGGATAATAGCTGTTCGATAGGTCTAGATAACAACCAGCCAGAGTAGAGCAAGAGAACATGACTCCCAGGAGGAATGTCTCCAGGAGACCACAGACAGACAGACACACACACAGATTCAAAAATTAAAATGTTAGATTACCTGACATGTTTTACCATGCAGAAAATTGAGTTAAGAGGCTACGGAAGGGTGTAAGAAGACTTGGCTATAGACTTTAATAAAATTTAGCAAATTCAGTCAACTATACTTCAATAAAAAATAAAATAAAATTTAGCAAATTTTAAAAAATTAAAAATTTAAATATCTGGGTATATACAAAAAAGAGAAAGGGAATATATCCATAACATATTAATACCATAGTACTACACTCATCAGTGAACAATATTTATTATGGCCATTATAATAAAAACATTTAATATGATTTAACCAAAAATTGAGATATAAATGCAGTGGGAGATGCTTAGAGGGAGGGGTAAGTGTAAGAAAACTAAAATCATCATGTTCCATTGATAGAAAAATTATTAGATAATGGCAAGAAAATGATGATTTAAGAGACAGGAGTATGTGTGTTTTAAAAATTTAGAAATATGGAGGGGCGCCTGGGTGACTCAGTCAGTTGAACATCTGCCTTCAGCTCAGGTCATGATCCCAGGGTCCTGGGATCGAGCCCCACATTGGGCTCCCTGCTCAGTGGGCAGTCTGCTTCTCCCTCTGCCTCTCCCCCCTCCCCCCTGGCTTGTGCTTTCTCTCTCTCTCTCAAATCTTAAATTTTTTTTTTAATTTAGAAATATGGAAATTAGGAAAAAAAAGCTAAAATATTGAAAGTGAATGCCTTGCAAAAACAGAGAGTAACAGGCCCAAAACACATACACACCACTCTCTCACTCTTACCCTTCAAGAAACTGTGGTTATGCAACTTTATAACTTTCAGATTATTTTTTAGAACTATGCATGCATCGTTCTGCTTTTAAAAAAGTATTGAGGGGGGTGCTTGAGTGGCTCAGTTGGTTAGGCGACTGCCTTCAGCTCAGGTCATGATCCCAGGGTCCTGGGATCGAGCTCCGTGTCAGGCTCCCTGCTCAGTGGAGTCTGCTTCTCCCTCTCCCTCTGCCCCTCTCCCACTTGTGCTCACACGCTCTCTCTCTCAAATAAATGAAATCTTAAAAAAAGTATTAAGGGAGCCCGTAAATTAATATAATAGCAATGGGGATGAATACAAGTGGTACTGGATATATGGAGTGAGATGTGGGTGGAGGAACAACTAAAAGGAAACAAAACAAAACAAAATAATAATTCCAGGATTCTGGCTTAGACAATAATCATCTGTTTTTCTTAGACAATGATATCTTTATTTTTTAAATGCAATCATTTCTAAAGGTAATTTTACTAGGTTAAATGTCATTTCTAATTTTGACTCAAAATTCGTGTGTGAAAACAATGATTTGGGGATGGCTTACAAAAGAAACACCATAACAAATAGGCACCATTCGGGTGCCTGGGTAGCTCAGTTGGTTAAGCGACTGCCTTCGGCTCAGGTCATGATCCTGGAGTCCCGGGATGGAGTCCCACATCGGGCTCCCTGCTCAGTGGGGAGTCTGCTTCTCCTTTTCATCCTCCCCCTTCTCATGCTCTCTCTCTCTCATTCTCTCTCAAATAAATAAAATCTTAAAAAAAAACCAAATAGGCACTATTCTTTTAAAATTATTTAAATTTAATTTCCTCATCTATATAGGTATGCCAAAATAGTTTCTTGGCATAATGTTGTTTAATGTTTAGTGCTGTACTTACCATAAAACAAAACAAAACAAAACCCTTCTCACCCTTCCAAATGTAACCAGTTTTATGAACTTTCTTTTCTAACTTTACTTCGAAAACACATATACAGAATGGTCTAAGTCAAATAATTAAAAGAGTAACTCAGTTTAGCATTGGCATATTCTGAATACTTGAAAACACCATCCTCATTGTGTCCCCTGGAGTCCTCCTTTGTAGTGTTTATTCTAACTAAAATATTCTTCCTCCGTACCTTATATTGTCCATGTTATTCAAGTATAGTAGAAGGAGCATGGACTTGACATCAAATTGAATAGCTCAAATCTCCATTGCACCATTTCTAATCACGTGACTCTGGAGAAATTACTTGGATCTTGTTTTCTCACCTCTAATATGGGTACAATATCTACCTAATAGAAGTGGCAATGTAGACTGAGAAAAATGTCATATAAAGTTCCTAACCTAACCTCAAGCAAATACTCAACAAAATCTTAATTCCCAACTCTTGGTTCAGTTACAACTTCCTCAATAAACCAGACCTTGTTTTTCTTCCACCTTTTACTACATTGGCATTCTATACCATACAGTTCAAGATTTACTATATATAATTTCAAATTGCTCACTATTTCTTAATGTGTTTTTTTTTTAAGTCGGCTCCACACCTAATGTGGGGCTTGAGCTCATGATCCTAAGATCGAGTCAGATGCTCTACTCACCAAGCCACCCAGACACCCCTCTTAAAGTGTGTTTCTTTACTGTACACGTCTAACACCAAAGTAAGATCCAAAGGAAGAGTGAAGAACTTATTTTCTTCTTCCTTTGTATCTCCTCCCATACATAGTAGTCTACTGGATAAGCATCAGCACTTAACATGATAATCAGTGAACTAAGAAACTAGGCAGTCAGGCAATGCCAAATTTAAAAAAAATGAGGGACATTCATGTATACAGATAATAAAAAAAATAATTTATATCTATGCTGATACTATGGTCTTGATTCCATGTCTGACACATAGATCTTCCTCATTCTTTTTAACGGGGTACTACCACTGTCAGTATATTCAAGATAGATTGTTGAGGAAAAAAAATTTAAAGGCACATAATAGCATATATCGTATGGTCTTATTTAGAAATTTTTCTATGCATAGAAGAAAATTTGTGGGTGGGGGGATGGGATAACTGGGTGATGGGCATTAAGGATGGAGGACACATGATGTGATGAGCACTAGGTGTTATACTGAACTGATGAATCATTGAACATTACATAAAAAACCAATGATGTGGGCGCCTGGGTGGCTCAGTCGTTAAGCGTCTGCCTTCAGCTCAGGTCATGATCCCAGGGTTCTGGGATCGAGTCCTGCATCGGGCTCCCTGCTCTGCGGGAAGCCTGCTTCTCCCTCCCCCACTCCCCCTGCTTGTGTTCCTGCTCTCTCTCTGTCAAATAAATAAATAAAATCTTTAAAAAAAAAAAACAATGATGTATTATACCTTGCCTAATTGAATTTAAATTAAAAAAAAAAGAAAAAAGCTTGTGATTATGTGTACCAAACCAATAACAGTAGTTATCTCTGAAGATCAGGAAGAAACACTTCATTTCTACTTTACTGACATTTTTATTGTATATTTTCTTTTTTACTATGAGCATGCATTACTTTAATAAATTTAAGTGTTTTTTTAAAATGTGCATACTTCTGTTTCTTTTACTTTCTCTCATGAAGGAAGGTCATCAGTACAAAAGCCATGCATACTAGTATCACTTGCAGCAGGAATACTTACTTTTTGATTGAAAAGGGTTGTCGTCGTCCATCAAGTTGCAGAGTCACCTAAGCACCAACACATAACATCAATCAATTTTATGAGTTACTTTAACACCAAATATTGAAACATGACACTTGGGATTCAGAAATCTTTGGGTCTAATTTTGATCTCCAGCAAACTCACCATATGACTCCAGAGAAGACAGCAAGTTAAGTCTTAGTTTTCTGCCCTATAAGATAAAGATACCTACTATTAGGGTGGATTTGTTAAATGTATTCACATTTAATCATTTTCTCCTACAAAGAGCTTACCTTTTGAGTTTGATATGTTTGATATACATATGCTACTGACTTTACCTAATTATAAATGCAAATTTAGTACATAAAATGCTGAAACATATTAAGCATTTATTACTCGAAGAAATCTGATGAACTGTTAAATTACAAATAAGTTTTGAAAAGCACCTTTGTGTAAATATGAGTAATCACCTTGTACTACATGTTTTAGTCAATCTCAATTTTGAAATGCTAAGTGACATTAATCTTTAACCGTTACTCATTCTCCATATTTCAGAAATAAATGTAATTATTACAAGAAAACACATACAAAAAAGTTTTAGTTTATATATTTTTATTTCTTATTAACACTAACTGCAAGGAATAGAAAATCAGTTGGGTAAACTTCATCATAGATTAATTCATTAAAAAATAATGACTCATTGCCTTCTGTGCTCAAAGTGATGTTCTCAGTTCTAGGGAAAAAATAAGATGAATAAATCATAGTCCTTGCCTTCAGAAGATTATAGTCTAATATATCTACAGTTCTTTGGGCTTTTAAAAAAGCTGTTGTACTAAACATTATCAAAAATTGTTTTTGAATTGCTTTCTTTAAAGCAGGAATTCACATGTCTTTATTTTCAGACTGATAAAAGCAAGCTTTTCTGCTTTTTCCAATTCCAAATTATTTAGACTGAATTAGACCAAAGGAAAAAACGTACTTTAACTCCAGAAGAAGTTACTGGTATGAATGTTTGAATTACTATCACAAGGATCTCAAGTGAATTCTGTACTTAAGTAAATGTCCCTAGTTCTGAGGTTTGACTATTCAAATGTCTTTAACTCAATTATTTGAATAGTTACTATTTCTCCCTAAACTAGAATTAAGGTAATGCATATGTCAAGTAGAAAAATACATGTCAATTCTTGCTCAGTATTAAAGACCTACTGCCACCAGGAACACAAGTTTTTTTTAAGAGTCACAACTGCATAGCCTATGGAGATTCATGTATAACACTTTTATTAAATGCTCACATAAAATATCTATTAGCACAAATAGCCTAAAATTAGTACTAAACATACAAGTAGTTTATATAAGCAAATCATATCCACTGCCTATGACTACAGAGATGAATTCTTAGGCCTGTAACAGCCACCAAGGAGCTTCAATTGGTACATTTATAAACACTCTAAAAAGTGAGAAATCTTCAGATGTCATTAGAACCATAACTTCATCTAAAGCTGCACTATCCAATAAAGTAGTCAAGCCCTCCAAAACTATCACCACAAAAAAACTCTCAAGTCATAATTTCAGAGTTCTGGTGACAATGCAAGGAATTATATGGGAGAGTAAGTCATCTGTCAAAGAAATGGAATACCTAGCAAAACGTGCAATGAGGATCTTAAAGCTCCCATAATAGCAGCTCCAGAGGGTCTCCAGGTTCTGCAACTCAGAGCTGGCACCAAAATAGGCAGAACAGAAAAGAACTCTCCACTTCAGCTACTGACTCAGGTAGAGATACTATGCCCATGTTAGGACACTGTTCCTATGAAGGAAAAACGAATTCCAAGTAACTAATGAAAGACCTCTTGGAATACAATACAGTTTTTGGACTCTGCCTGTATAAATAATTATAACTACTATTTAGATATTTTATGGTTTCAGTTTCTATATATTTAAAATTCACCTATCTTTTAAGAGTTCAATTCTACAAAATTTTCAAAAAACGTTAATAGATTAAAATAGTTAAAATGGTAAATTGTATATTATGTGCATTTCATGCCTACTAGGATGGCTATAATAAAAAAGGCAGATAATAACAAGTGTTGGCAAGGATATGGAGAAATTGGAACCCTCATACACTGCTGGTGGGAACACAAAATGGTGCAGACACTGTGGAAAATACTTTGGTTACACATAGTTATACCATAGTTATACTAAGTTATACATAGTTACCATATGACACAGCAATTCCACTCCAAGTGAGAGAGAATTGAAAACATATGCCCATACAAAAACTTGTACATGGGAATGTGCATAGCAACATTTTTTTTAATAGCCAAAAAGTGGAAACAACCCACATGCCCAACCAATGAATGGATAAACAAAATGTGATATACCTATACAATGGAATAATATTCAGTCATAAAAGCAATAATACTGATATATACTATAACATGGATGAACCTTGGGAACATACTAAGTGAAAGACGCCAGTCAAAAAGACCATGTATTATATGACTTCATTTACATGAAATGTCCAGAAATGGCAAATTCATAAAGACAGAAAATATAGTAGTGATTGCTTAGGGCTGGGAGGGTTGGGGGTGAAGTGGGGAGTGACTCCTAGTGGATATGGGGTTTCTTTTGGGGGTGATGAAAATGTTCTAAATTGACTGTGGTGATGGTTACATGCCACTGTGAATATACCAAAACCATTAAACTGTATACTTCGAATGGCTGAACTGAATGTTATGTGAAATTTTTAAAGATTATTTTAGAGAGAATAAGAGCGTGGGGCGGGGAGGGGCAGAGAGAGAGAGAGAATCTTGATCAGACTCCCCACTGAACATGGAGCCCAATGCCAGGCTCGATCTGATCCCAGGACCCTGAGATCATAACCTGAGCCAAAATCAAGTCAGACACCTAACCAACTGAGCCACACAGGGGCCCCTATTATGTGAATTTTATCTTAATAAAGCTGTTAAGAAAATAATAAGGTGGTAGGGTATAAGCCTGGGAGTGATGGAGTCACTGTGTGGAGAAAGAATGTCTAAGAAAGAAACCAACAAAGAAAATGCAAAAGCCTTAAGATTCTGGGGTAGAGAAAGAGTAGGGTAGGGAGATATTCAAGTTCTGATAATACCATTAAATACCTGAAGCTAGCCATGCTTGAAGTTAATTAACTATTAAGACTTCTCAGTTAAGAGGAGGAATAATTGTTAATTTCTGGTTTAATCTACCTTGAGCGAGGTTTCTGGTACTTGAATCCAAGAGTAATAATACACTTACCAGCGGCTTATTACCCCCACATTTTTCAAACTAATAGACTTCTGGGGAAAAGATAATATTGCGGATGGTGCAAGAGAGCTCTATCTAAAACAATATATTGCTTTGCTATCCAAAAACTTTCAAATATACAATACAATCTTATTAACTGTAATCACCATTCTATAAATTACATCTCCAAGGCTTATATTACTGGAAGTTTGTACCTTTTGGCCATCTTCACCAAATTTGTCCACTCCACACCCCAGCTCTGGCAACCACCAATGTGTTCTCTGTATCTATAAGTTCCCCTCCCCGCCTTTTTTTTTTAAGATTCCACATGTAAGTGAGATCATACAATATTTGTCTTTCTCTGATTTATTTCACTTAGCATAAAGCTCTCAAGGTCCATGCATGTCATGAATGGCAGGATTTCCTTCCTTTTTATGGCTGAGTAATAGTCCATTTTATAAAAATGTATACACCAAATTTTCTTTATCCATTCATCCAATGATGGACACTTTGGTTGTTTCCATGTCTTGGCTATTGTAAATAATGCTGCAATGAACATGGGGATGCAAATATTATTTCGAGTTAGTGTTTTCATTTCCTTCAGATAAATACCCAGAAGCAGAAATTGTTGGATCATATCAGTACTGCTGTTTTTGTCTGTCTTTACTACTGCATTTTCATCAAGTACTATCACTTTTACTGCTGTTGGCTAATAACAAACTAAAGAACATAGGAAGAAATATCTAAATGATGCATTTGCACTAAATGGACAAATGACAGTATGGTTAGCTATAAAAATGATGGTATTTAAAAGATTCAAATAGAAAAATCTTGCCATTGTTTAGATAGATACGAAAAATGCAATACAAGTAGGCAGTGACTTTGTTTCATCAAAATGTATATTCACTCAATGTATTAAAGTTAATTCAAATAGCATTGATTTTCTAGTTTTGATTATTTTGTTTTATGACTGTGTAAGAGCTCTAGAAATATTTTAAACATTTTATTTTAATTTTTAATTTTTTTATTTTTTAAGATTTTATTTACTTATTTGAGAGAGAAAGAGAATGAGAGATAGAGAGCACGAGAGGGAAGAGGGTCAGAGGGAGAAGTGGACTCCCCGCCGAGCAGGGAGCCCGATGCAGGACTCGATCCTGGGACTCCAGGATCATGACCTGAGCCGAAGGCAGTCGCTTAACCAACTGAGCCACCCAGGTGCCCCTATTTTAAACATTTTAAAGTAGGAAGATGTCTATGAAAATGTTTTCTTATAACAGAAATTAATTGCTACGGTACTCAAATGCAAGGAACACTGGATTATACCTTAATTCCTTAGACAATGTCATTGACACCTAAACAATTCAAACTCTCAAACCAGGTTTTGGGGACAAATAACATATAATTTAGAAGGAAAACTTAGGCTCATCATCTTTTTTTTTGTTTAAGAAATTTTTATATTGTGGGACTTATTTTTTTGCAAGTCTGAACACATGAAGTCCTGGCATATTTTGAGAAGATATTTATTTAATAACTTTCCTATTTCCCCCTTATTTTATTTAGGTTTTCATTTTTTTCCCTCTGTTGACATTCAGATTTCATCTATTTGTGGAAAGTAGCTAGTTGACACTACAACTGAAGCTCATTAGCATAATACTTTGCTAAGATTGCTTATATTTTAAAACATTTTCTTTAATGTTAGTTTTTTGGGTGGGGTGCTATAAAATTTACTTTCTGCAAAGTAATTTTTATATTATACTCAAGGTAAAGATTTTA